CGGTACATAAATTACAAAATGACCTGCTGTACTTGCTTTTCATGTATAAAAATGAACAAAATAAGCAAGTAAAATGATAATCATTTTATTTACAATGTAAACAAGTATTTCACACAGTTTTTTGGCTATCGATTGAACCTGTGTACATAGACAAACTAGGCTAGCGTTTGTTTACATTTTTCTTCACATTTGTCAGCTGCACAGTCTCTAACGTTCATCCTTATTTTTTGGGTAGACCTTTGGTTAAATTTTCATGATAAACTATTATTTTATCTTTAAATTCTACTCACGATAAATGTGTAAATCTGTTGGAAAATATCATTGCAACCATGCCATGAACAGCTGCCAAACACCTCGGCGTTTTTCGTAGTTCAATGTAAAGCTGTCGCCAGTGTCTCCATGTTTATCAGTGTTTTACGGTAAGTATGCCTTTAGTTACTGAAATCGTAGAATGTTTTTGATCAAATTGCAAATTAACTTGGTCGGACAAGTGTCTCAATCCATCGGATCCATCCATCCCTTTCCGACGACCGAAGTTCCTTCAACTTTTTATCAACAAACTTCGTACGTGTTTCTTGTGTCTTTTCAGCATCGATTATCAATTTTCACGAATAAAAATATTCCCAGACAACAATCTGTTCACTATTACTGATCACAAGTAGCCTTTCACAGAATATTCCCTTCGAAATAGATTCCTTAGCCTAATAAATTCGAAGCGTAACCGCCATACAAGCCGATTTACGCCTTGCGTCATTTTTCAAAATCTACGACGGACGGTTAGTGCAATAATTTAAAATCGAAAATATTCAATTGTCTGTCTCAAATGTATATATAAGTAATAAATAACACGTTTATAAACTTCAATGGGAATTGAAGTGGGTCGGTACGTGATCAAATCTTCTGAGAAGGCCTTCGGCCTTCACAGGATTTGATCACGTGACCGACCCACTTCAATTCCCATTGAAGTTTATAAACTTGTTATTTATTTCTTAATATATACATTTGTGGTATCTCTCCATTATATAAACATACAGAGAGAAAATATCTTCAATTCTGTATGAAGTTTGTCAGAGGTCAGAGGTCAATACGTGACCTAATCACACGGCGCAATAATATCTACCGGTACATAATTATAAAATAAAATGACCTGCTCTACTTGCTTTCCATGTATAAAAATGAATAAAATAAGCAAGTAAAATGATAATTATTTTATTTTAAATGTAAACAAGTATTTGATACAGTTTTGGGGCTATCGATTCAACCTGTGTACATAGAGAAAACTAGGAGCCTAGCGTTTGTTTACATTTTTCTTCACTTTTGTCAACAGTCTCTAACGTTCATCCTTATTTTTTTGGATAGACCTTTGGTTAAATTTTCATGATAAACTTTTATTTTATCTTTAAATTTTACTCACGATAAATGTGTAAATCTGTTGGAAAATATCGTTGCAATCATGCAATGAACAGCTGCCAAAAACCTCGGCGTTTTCGTAGTTCAATGTAAAGCTGTCGCCAGTGTCTCCGTGTTTATCAGTGTTTTACGATAAGTATGCCTTTAGTTACTGAAACCATGGAATTTTTTTGATCAAATTGCAAATTAACTGGCTCGGACAAGTGTGTCAGTCCATCGGATCCATCCATCCCTTTCCAGCGACCGAAATATTCCTCCAACTTTTTATCATCAAACTTCGGACGTGTTTCTTGTGTCTTTTCAGCATCGATTATCATTTTTCACGAGTAAAATATTCCCATACAACAATCTGTTCACTCTTACTGATCACAAATAGCCTTTCACAAAATACTCCCTTCGAAATAGATTCCTTAGCCTAATGAATTCGAAGCGTAACCGCCATGCAAGCCGATTTACTCCTTGCGTCATTTTTCAAAATCTACGACGGACGGTTAGTGCAATAATTTAAATTCGAAAATATTCAATTGTCTGTCTCAAATGTATATATAAGTAATAAATAACAAGTTTAAAAATTTCAATAGGAATTGAAGTGTACGGTACGTGATCAAATCTTTCGAGAAAGCCTTGCGCCTTCACAGGATTTGATCACGTGACCGACCCACTTCAATTCCCGTTGAAATTTTAAACTTGTTATTTATTTCTTAAATAAAGTTATCGCGAATAAAAAGTGATTTACAGTATTAACTGCTATGAGTGAAACAAGTGTTTAACACTATGTTAACATATAAGACAGAGGGTGAATTTATCAGCGGCTAATAAACGATTTTGTTACATTGTATTAATATTTTGTAGCCAAATAGCTCTTATATTTGATTAAGGCTTAACCACCTGGATTGGATTGCTCAAAACTCTGGTTAAGGTTAACCACTGGTTAAATCTCTTATCCAGTGGTTAACTTTTAACCGTTGGTCAAATTCTGTTGCTCAAAATTTGTCCACTAGTTAACTTTGCTATCCAGTGGTTAAATATTGCCTAAAGTTAGCCATTCCACAGAGGCGGGTTAAGTCTCTTAACCAGTGGATAAATATGACTAAAAAATTATTATTTGTTGTAAATTTTGGGAGATAATAAAAGAAACAGAGGCTTATAGATATTGTAACCAAGAATTTAATGTTGATGAATGCTTAAAAAGACATATGCAGTGATATAAAGTGAAGTTGACGTGGTTTTGTAGCAATATTAGGCAGGAATAACATCACAGTCAGGGATATGATAGGTTTTTATGTCTTCATCGTCAGAAGAAATGTTTTAAATGGGTTCTTTCAAGGATTAATCTGTTGGCATTACAAAGGATCTTATCAAGCGGCCTTCCCTTGCTGAAAAATAAATAATTATTATATATTAGGTATATTTTAAATAAAAAAGTATAAATGAATAAAATTGTTGGTCATTTGCATATAGGTCTAATAGTGGATATATATAAATTGTTCTTTGGTTACCATACATCAGTATTTAAAATCAATTGAGAATTGACCCCCCCCCCCCCCCACTGACACACACACTCCCTTTTTCAAAGATCTTGCATTATGTACTTGTTTTTCAAAATAATATTAGTTATCATTTCCTTGCCGATATTTTTATCTGCCTATTTTATCAAACTACCTTTCTTGTTGACGGCTGCATTAAATTTTAAATGCGTACCATTTCCTTTGATTTTATTATCATTTTGGCAAGGTCTCGTTTTTTTTTTTTTTTTTTTTTTTTTTTTGCAAAGATAGACTTTATATAGGCATTGAAAATTGGGGTTACCTTTTTTTTAATTTGTTGGTTTAGCCCCCTTCCTCCACCCCGACCCACATTCAGTTAGCTACTCTACTTTCACAATGCTTCCGATGCATATGCTATCAATATCTACATAAAGATTTTTAGCTAATTTCTACATGTATTGATGCTAATATTAAGAGGTGTTGTATTTATAAAATACACTTGGGATAATGCATTTTAGTTACGCCGCAAAAGAATGACTGCACTTAAGTACGTCATTTGGAACCTTTTCGGCTACCCATTATAAGCTTAACATTACTTGGACACTCTTTTATTTCTTCAATAAAATTGATTTTGCTATCAGACTTTTTGTTAGGTCATTGTTTTTTTTTTACTACACATTACCCAGTATACGTGATTGCTACAGGGGTTTAACGGTGGATGTGGCCGATGGACAGGGGATGCTTACTCCTTCTAGGCTCCTGACCCGAACTTTTGAGTTTCCAGAGGTCTGTGATTTTGCCCTAGTCACGATCTGTACTCCGTACAAGATGGATTAGGGTTAGGGTTAGTTATATTCATCGTCTTCACCCTTTTTCTACCTCAGACATTTACAAATTACAATTAACCCAATCATCTTTCACGCCTTACTTTACTTATGAATATACAAGTTTAAATTCCATCCACTGTTACTTATATAATGCTTTTGAGGAAATATTCAACACAAAAACAAACTATAGGAAAATAGTTTTGTAGAAACTGAGTTACCAGTCAATTTAAAATCAGTCAGTCAGACTCCTGACGCTACATGCAAAGAATTATGAAATGACCACTATTATACATTTATTGTATGATATTGAGGGAAATATGAAGATTTATTCAGCCAAGTAAAATCATATACCCCGAGGGCTTCGCCCGAAAGGAATATGATATTTCTTGGCTGAATAAGTCTTCATGTTTCCCGAACATTCATGCAATGGATTGTTTATTATACCGAAACAAGCAAAACCTTAAAAAAAACGTTCAAATTCGGCACCGCTCTCAAATTCACTTTCATTTTTAACGTAAAGTTATTAAAACCCTTTGATTAACACATTATCGTCAATTTTGTGACGTAAACCAGGGTATTGTGACGTCAACTTATCTCGGGAGTTTTCTTTAAACGAACGATAATTATTTCGGGAAAATGCACTAAGTATCGAAGAGGTGGAATATGATGAAAGCATGCCGACGGCCGTGAACATAGGCGCTTGGGTCAAGGATACTGTATATTTTCTATATAATGCATTGTCGAGGAAATTCGAACTTACTCGTAACTTTTTTTTTCAGTGTGCAGTGTTAATTTTTAGTTTTTTGTAAACCTTTGTGCTTCATATACTCTAGAATGTCACGGAAATTCGATTTTATGCACGCTTTAAAAATGACATATCCCACTGTATACTAAAAAGAAACTATACAGTGGGATATGTCATTTTTAAAGCGTGCATAAAATCGAATTTCCTTGACATTCTAGTGTATATGAAGCACAAAGGTTTACAAAAACTAAAAATTAACACTGCACACTGAAAAAAAAATGTTACGAGTAAGTTCGAATTTCCTCGACAATGCATTATATAGAAAATATACAGTATCCTTGACCCAAGCGCCTATGGCCGTGAAATATGAAGTTTTACGGCCCGATCACGTGATAACCTAGAACCAATCAGATAACGCGTTGTGTAGAATATTCATAATGAGGTATAATAAATATAATTTTTTAGAGTTTTAATGCATATAGTCAAGGAGAACTTGGACGATATTTTTTTATAATAATTCAATCTAAACAGGCAACGGAAAGTGGAAAAGAGTACAGTAACTACAGTGTAATGGCAAACGTCACGTTACGTCAGCTAAACCTGCTGACCATTACCATACCAACCTATCCCACGTCGTCAAGGAGACGGCGCTCTACAGACGGGTCCATACATGGCTGGGATTTAAGTTTCAGTTACGACAATTCTACCTTCAGCAACTCCACTTCCGTCGTTGTGTACAACGGCGCATCCGAATCATGCGACTACACAACATATACATGTACCAAGGTAGCATGACAATTATTCTTGACGTTGAGTTACGCTTTCACTTGATGCTATCATTTTTTAAACAACTTTTTCTGTATCTGCAAATGACAATGTTTTAAAAGAGATTAACATTTATTTAAGAACCTGTGACAGTCGCAAAAAACTTAACAAGGTCTAAAAATAGTTGTTATAATTAGAAATATAAAATACATGTAATGCATTTATGCAAGCATGAAATGGACTTTTGGCTTTCAATGAATATGAAAAAGAATGCAGACTTATATCTTAGTAATTTTCACTGAATTTTATTATATTTCAGTTCACATCAGTTCAGGATGAACCAGGTAAATTTGGTAAAAGTATTATATAATCGTATTTAAAGTAAGAGACCCTTAGTTTAAGACCTCTGTCGTATTGAAGGTATTGGGTTTCTTATTTAACACTTAATTTTCTTACAAATTTTAATCTACCTCCAGTGTGAATTTCGACTCATCTTTGCGATCAGTATATGTTCAAGAGTGAGTTCAATTTAATGCACACTGTGTTTATAAAAACACTCCTATGGAAAAAAAGTGTTGTTTTTCCAGACGACAGTTGGATTGCTGGGGCGGCAGCAGGTGGCGCTGTAGGCTTTGTGGTTGTCATGGTGATCGTGGGAGTAATTGTTTATAGGAAATTTTTCAAAAAGTAAGACTTTGATATAACATTTATAACTTTTTATCATTAATAATAAATGTAATATCAGTTCAACTGTAGATTGTGACTGTTTTCAGTAAAATATGTTTGTTGTCATAGAGAACTACAAGTATCAATCATAAATCGAAAACTACACTCTTTAAAACATTGAACTTATGTGATCCGATATTTTGAATATATATTCTATTTGAAACTTTACTCGATATCAGTCAGTTTAAAAATTATGTACAGTATATATTTTCAAACATATGAATTGGAATGCCCACACTTAAGATGAGAAAATGTCACCTATTTTATTTGATCTTTTTTTTGTGAAAAGTTATCCCTTTTTAACTGAAGTTGTCGATGCCAATAGCATTTAATTCTAATTAATTCATTTTTATCGATCTTAAAACGTTGTTTGCCAGTATCTCTCAAATGTAATTGTTTACATTAAGAAGTCACTTTGGATAAGTTGTTTTGACTATTTTCAGCAAACGACCATCATCAGCTAAGGTTGGCAGCAGTGACAGAGAAATGTTAACCTTGAAACAGGACGAAGAGAGTCCTCCCCGGCCTCCCACCGTCAACTCGTGGGTGTCAGATAGGAAGAAATAGTGAAAGAGGGTAGCAAAGGAACCACCAAAGATAGTTAAAGATAAAACTAATATAATAGAAATACCTAGAGATTGATGAAATGATAGCTCAGAAACGATAAAAACGAATAGCTAAGTATAGATGTTAAAAATAGCTAAATACGGATATAAAAGAAATATACAGAGGTCGATGTTCAAGTTAGATCTAAAGATGAGTTTAAGGAAATCAACTGGATTAAATACTTAAGACATGATTAGAGATAAATTTGAAAGAAACAACTAGATTATCAAAAAATATTCAGAACTTTTAAAAATGTTTGAGATGGATATAAAACTACAATGAACTTGAACAAGACATATTCTTTAACTATACCTGCTGAAGTTATATAGTGTTATTCTGTCCCTATCTGTCACTAAGTACATTAAAATGATTTTTCTATAATGTTCAATATTTTATTTTGTTTGAGGTTCAATAAGGAAAATATGTTTTGAATTTCCTTTCAAAATCTGTTCGTTTCTGGCTTGGACATTCAGGGACCGAATTATGCATGAGGAAAAACTGTGTGTGAATTTTGAATCTTGAAAAGAGTCTTTCTGTAAAAGTTTATCTGTGCTTTATTTTTTTGCAATGTGTTTACATGTAAAAGGTTTGGAATTGATATTATAGCGTTTGTTTTATTTTCAAGCATCTGCATCACTTCAATCGGAAACAAATGCAAATCTTGTAAATTGGCTGTTTGATTTTTCTTTTCTTACTTCTTTGTTTTAAGATTTATGACCTGTTCTGCAAGATAAAAATATTTGATTCCCACTAAATACACCGTAAATTTTAGTGAGGATGTTGTGACAATTATTGAGATACAATTGTATATTTAATTTTTGCTTCTAATTAAGATTTTAATTCTTGAAGACAATCTGGATGCAGCATCTATCACGTGCCAATGTCTTATTTTGTATCGACTCGGTAAACACTTACCTCAATAGTCTGAACTTTATCATTATGTGTTGTAGACCTTTAATAATTTTGTCCATATTTTTAGTAATGCAAAGTTGGATTAAATCATTATTTTCATATTCTAAGAATACATTCTTGTTTGGTATTATGAAACTGTCAATTGGAGATAGTTTTGATGTCATTTGTGAAGATTCGAAATGCATTTCTTTTTGTACAAGGTTTTAAAAAAAATTTTGGTATAAAAATGGTAAATATTTATGTCTGAAAAAAATAGTTTATTTTATAAATTTAATGTACTTTTTAAAGACATTTTTTTTAATTTCTGTTGTTAATGATGACAATATTGGTGTGGCTACCGGTGAATTTTTATATCTATACTTCCGGCCTTCCTTTTTGTTATTCAAATTAAACATTACATTTCTCTTGTTCAATAAATTGATTTTTTTTTTATTTTTTGACAAATGATTGTTAATGTTATGTTTATTTTTAAAAAAAAACCCATATTTTAATACTACTGAATTAAAATATGTGAGAGAACAGGTTTTTAATATATTTATCCGTCCACTTTTTACTGAATATTTGGAGAAAGAGAACAAGTTTACATTTGTTTTTGTTTCGTTTAAATCGTTATTTCCATTTAAGAATTTTCTATTGAATTTTAAAATTTTATGATGTGTTTTATAAATTATATCTAATAAAGCATTATAAATAGCTTTTGCAGCTGGTCTGTAATAAATATAATACTGGTGCATTGTGTCATTTGTATCTTATGATATATATGGAGATAACGAACAGTTTCCAAGCTTAAAAGTCCATTAAACGATACAAAATAGGAGCATAGCAAACGGGGACCTACAAAACATGAGAGGTTGAATCAGATGTCATGGAGGAGTGAGCATCCCCTGTCGACCGGTCACACCCACCGTGTCCTGAACGGAGAGATGACAACTGCGAGTATATTTGTTTACGAAATAATATCTTGAAAAGAAAAACTGAAGTAGCCTAATTTGATTAAATATCATGTAAAATCCTGCATGTGCCTGTGACTAATAACAATCTATCGTTCAATCAAATGCCAGCTTACTTTTTCATACCAATTGTCGGGCCATTATTCACACACAGATTTGTCCCAAAATTTTTCCCTCTATTTTCCAATCATGATAAGGAGCACACATCGGGAGTGTCCGGGCAGTTGATGTTCACTCATCAATGACACCTGCTTCCCTCTCTGGTGTTTTGGAGATCCGTTTCTGCTCCGCTCCTAATTTTTCATGTTTAATGGACTTTTTGAGCTTGATTGATTGATTGATTGTATATTGTTTAACGTCCCTCTTGAGAATTTTTCACTCATATGGAGACGTCACCGATGCCGGTGAATGGCTTCAAATTTAGACCTATACTCGGCACTCAGGGCCATTGAGCAGTGAGGGTTCTTTATCGTGCCAACGCCTACCGTGACACGGGACCTACGTTTTTAGGGTCATATCCGAAAGACCCGTGACTTTCACTTCTAGTGCCGAGCGCTTGGCGAAGGAACAGTCACTACCTTTGTTTACGTCTTAGGTATGACGCGGCGCCGCGTTTTGAGCTTGAAAATAGTTCGCTGAATATATCGACATATTTACATTGTCAGATTGGATTAATTGTATCAGATCTTTGTTAAATTCGCGTATTAAGGTTATTCCACCCTCCTATGATTTCATGGGTTTTTGCAGAAACTGTCATTAATTGAAATTAATACGAAATAGAACAGTATCTGTTGGAAGAATGCTTTTCAATAGGTGTAATGATAAATATTGTTAATTAAAAGAATTTGAAAATTACATTTTTAATATTAAATCAATAATTTTAATCTTTAAAAAGGGTTAACAAAGACAGTAACTCTTTTTCAGGTTTCTTCATTCAGGCATTTTCTTTATTGTATTTTATTGTATTCTAATGTAAAATAGTTTCTCTGATATTCACAATCTAAAAGTATCTTATTAATAGCAAGTATTTTGGAACATTCAGCATCAGAATTTTGCATTTGAACCAGTTTTTTTTATAATTTATACTGTTTACAAAATGCGTACAATTTTTTCATGTTGACATTTACTTTTTTTTTTATTTATGTCTCATTTAAAAAATATGGTGACCAATACAATTTTTGCTAAAAATTGGTAAATTTAAACTATATTACATGAAAACAGATCCAGTTTTTGTACTTTGAACCATTAAATTTGTGAAGATGAAAAGAACTTAGAAAATTGAGGGGCAATATGAAAATCATCTATCCTTCTGTATTCAGTAATCCAGAGGTGAAAAAAGAATTAGATAGATTACATGATCAGTATGTACTAGTCCCTGCCGACAAAGCAGGTAACAACATTGTCTTTTTTATAATGCTCATTATATGAATTATATTTTAGAAGAACTTGGATTTAATTCTACAAGTGGTAATCCTACTTAAACTCATACTTCCCTTTCTAAGGGAGAAATTCTTCAAAATCATTTGTCAGTTTTATATAATTTAAATATTCCACAGAGCCAAAAGGAATTTGAACTACCCTATAAATACTTAATTCCGAAACTTCATAAAAATCCTTACAAACAAAGATACATTGCGGGTTCCAGTAAATGTTCAACCAAGCTTCTTTCGTTACTACTCACTAAGATATTGACAGTTGTGAAGGAAAAACTTCAAGAGTGTGAATCAGATGTGGATACTCATAAATTCCAAAGAGTTTTTGGACAATTTGAAATCACAAGAATTTACAAAAATCAACATCTCCAAAACTTACGACTTCAACTTTATACACAACCATTCCCCACGATAAATTAAAGTCCAGGCTTTTTGATATCATTGACAGTTGCTTTTTCAATAAAAAAAGGAACTTGTAAATTAACTTACCTTGTCCTTGGTCATTTGCAAAATTACTTTGTTAAAACATATTTTGATTGCACACACAAGTACTCTGAAGTTGACATCTTGAGATCAAGAGATGCTTGATTTTCTGATAATATCTATGTGGTTTTTGGAGACCAGGTATTCCAACAATCTATTGGAATTCCCATGGGCACCAATTCTTTTCCGTTAATAGCCGACATATTTTTATATTCATATGAAGCAGAAGTTGTGCATAATCTTATGCGTGAAAAAAGAAAACACTTGCTGTGGCCTTCAACTCGACATTTAGATATATTGACGATGTATTGTCAATTAACAATGGTTAATTCCATTTCTACGTCGATACGATATATCCTGGGGAGCTTGAGATAAAAAATACCACAGAGTCTGACACATCTGTTTCATACTTGGATATTTTAATTGAAAAAGACACTAATGGTAATCTAACAACCAAGTTATATGATAAACGTGGTGACTTTAACTTTTCTATCGTCAACTTGTCTTACTTATGCAGCAATATACCTTCATCACCTGCATACGGAGTATATATATCTCAGTTTATTCGATACACAAGAGCATGAGAGCATGCGTATGAACAATTTCTAAAACGAGGTAAATTATTGACATGCAAGTTGATGAAACAAGAATATCAACAGTTTTGTTTAAAGGCATCATTTCGTAAATTCTGTGGTCGATACAATGACCTTGTAAGCAAATACAATTTATCATTGAGACTGACGTTTTTCATACTAATTGTTAGTCCATTATTTATACACTGAATTGACGACGGATGTTTACGTTATTTCCCGATCATGACAAGGAGCACACGGAGGGTGTGATCGGTCAGCTGGGGATGTTTGCTCCTCCATGGCACCTGATCCAACTTCTGATGTTTCGGTTGAAAAACATTCCTCCTTTGGCATCAATAAAAATACCAGGCTATAAAAGCGAAGGATGAAATATGAAGATAACGGACAGAAATAAATCTCAGTATAATCAAAGGGAGAGCAAACGCAGCATTTTAAATAAAGAAATGAAGTCTACAGTTGCCGTGCAGAAGTAAGTGTTCTCCGGTCGACCTGTCATCCCCGCCGACTGCTCTTTGTCGTGATCGTGCCAACAAATAACCTTTTTTAAAATTGTTTAAAACAATTCAGAGTTAAAGTAATGGCCAATGCATCTAGGATATTCATTAATTCCTGTGAATGAATGAAAATATAACTTCAGTCAACATTCGACTCAATGATCGATGGTAAATTCTTGCAAAGTCTGTCCATTGAAAG